TGGAAGTCCCAAACCCACAGTGGAGGAAGAGACCAAAAGGGCAGGCTGCAGACAGGAAGGGACTGGGAAGGGCAGGCAGGGAGCTTGGCCCAGAGGAAGGAGAGCCCAGATGACGGAAGGGCTGGCTTCGCTGCCTGCCTGTTAGCCTCCGTCCTTCCATCTGAGCCCTCCCTCCCCCAGCTGGGCCTCCTCACCTTATCTGAACCACCAGCCCGGCCCCACCTCTCATCTTCCCAGCACCCAGAGCTTCCCAAGTCCCAGGACTTAGGAGATAAGACTTGCCCACAGGGACCTCTAGGTTCTCACCACCTATTCCTGTGGGCTCTTGCTCCAGGCAGGCACGGCCCAGACGATGACTCCTCAAGGCTCTTAGAAATGAAGCGTCAACTGACAGACCCAGCTCAGTCCTTTCGTGCAGCCTCTGTTCCCACCCTATGTCAACCACCACCTGCTCAGTGCTCCTGGACCCCTTCACTCAACTTCCCCCCAACCAGCAAATCAGAATTCATTGCTCTTGTTTCAGAAATGAGGAGGATGCACTGAGAAGTGACCTCGCTAAAGGCCTCCCAGACAGAAGCCGAGCTGGAACGCCTACCTTGGCCCGCCTGGCACGTTTCAATCAGTTCCCAGACCCCACGTTGACCGCTGACCGGAACGCAGCGCTCCGAGCCTGTGTGCTAAGCTTTTATGGCCGTGCCACCCAGAATCCTGTGCACTGGCCTCACTTCGCAGAAAGGAGCCCAGAGCCTGGGGACTCGGGGTCAGGCGGGCCGGGTGCCTGCCAGCTAGTGCAGGCAGTCAGTGAATTATGAAATCGAGCGCAGCGTCCAAGTGGGCTGGGGTCAGGGTGGGCAAGCACGCGGGCCCCTCCTGGCTCCAGTCTCACTCAGCGTGCCCGCCCTGGCCCCTCCCTTTCTACCTCCTTCTTTCCTCTCTGAGCTCCGCTTCCCTCTCCCCCTCCAGGCCCCACCCCCACAGTTACTGTGGCAACAACTCCATGCCAGAAATAAAAGCTGGATACAAAAAAAAAAAAAGCTGGATACAGCGAGGTTGCTGTTCCCAAAACAGCATCCCAATCTGGGGAGGGGAAGGGAGGGGCCCCTGGGAGGGCCAGGTCTGTTCCCCTGGGGTCTGTGTGAATGTGTGTGTGTGGGGTGGGGTGGGGGGTGGGGGGGCAGGACACTAGAAGAGCCGGGGAGGATTGGGGCCTGCCCTGAGCCCCTTGGCTCCCCAGGACGGCTGCACCTGGCCACCTCCACTCTCCTCTACATATGTTGAAAGCTGCTGTTCTCTCTGCTAGACCGGGGCTCCCCCAATGCCAACCCCGTCCTCCGTCCTCTCACACTCTGGCAAGAGGAGACGGGGTGGGCATCCCTGAGCACAGAACCTGGGTCCCTGCCTGGAGACCCACCTGCTCAGGGGCCTGCCCTCCTGTTCTCTTGATGCCAACAGGCATGGGCCCTGTAGCACTCAACCCCATCAGTGTGCAACGATTCACCATTTTTTTTCTGTAGGGCTTGGTCTTGCTTGGGCTCCCACATGCTAGAACCTTTTCCCCTGCCAGGTTCCCCCAGCCCCTCATGCTTGCTGGGTCCTCAGCACACACCTGCTTATCGTGGGTCTGCTTGGTAGATTGCACTGTTACTTCTGCAGATGGGATTGACAGCACTGGGGAGGAGGGAGGGTCTCATACCCTATATTCAGCTTCCAGCGGCTCTCTTTTCTGGTCTTGACCCACCCCCCACATGAGCTCTGAGACAGAAATCCCTACAGACATCAACTCACAGGGGACCAGCTGACCCAGGTGTCAGACACCTGGCTCCAGGCCCGCAGGTGGAGAGGACACCCCTGTGGGCAGACAGGCAGAAAGGCCCACACAACGCTCATGTACGCATGTATGCACACACGGGGAGACTCGAAGCTGGCTTCAGGATCGCACCCCCACCCTTCCCGAGAGAGGCCCCTACAGGACAATACCCAGGACATGCTGGCATCCACTCACACCCACCCACCCTCCTCCCCTTGGCAACGCTCTACACCCACAGCCTGCCGAACCATGTGTGGAGCCTGTCCCCCAGCTATGCATGCGCACATACTGGTACACACAAAAGCCCTTCATTTGCCACCCCCAGGGACTGCCCGTGCCCCCGGACTCCCATAGTACCACTGCCTTCTTTCTCCAAGACATGCTACTGTCCCCCTGACTTGCAGACCCTGGCAACGCCATCCCCTTGGAGGGAAGGCAGGTGATGAGCCTCCGGGAAGGGCTCAGGGCCTCCAGGCTGGAGGAGGGGCAGCAGGGGTGGTGGTGCTGGGGGGGTTGCAGGTCTACTTGAACTTCCTCAGTAGGCAGCATCAGTGAACAGAGGCAGCTGCCACCAAAGGGCCCTCATCCCAGTCCATCTAGCTGCTAGAGGTGGGGGTGGTGGGGAGCCTCAGGTCCCTTCCCCCCAAGGAGCAGGCCTCTCTCGGAACAGCTCCAACCCTGAAGGGTATCTGGGGCGGCGCCCCCCACCCCCACCCCCGCAAAGGGTGGAAGACATGCAATAGCTTAATTTGCCCATTATTCAGCATGGGGGGGGGGAACAGCTCCCTGCCCACCCAGCACCCCCTCACTGTAATCTCTGGCCAGCATAATGAGGTGGGCAGGAAGAATGGCCAGTGAAGGGGCACGGGGCGGCTGCAGCTAGCCCCAGCCCTCCCATTACCTCAAGATCAATCAGAATAAACCCACTTAGGCCCAGCAGCGTCTAGCCACCCAGTCCCCATCTCCCAGGAAACCAGGAAATCCGGCCACCCCCCAAAGCCTCCTCACAAGCAGATGCTGTTGTCCCAAGTGTCCACAGAGGGGATAAAAGGAGTGAGACCCTGCCACCTACCTTCCCCAGACAGGGTGGCCTCAGGTCAAGGCCAGGGTAGGGAGAGGCATCACCCAACTCCAAGGCCTTTTTCTCCAGAGCCTAGGTACAAGGCGTCTCTTCCAGGGACCCAGCCCTGCTCTCCCAGCTCACAAACAGCAGGGAAAAGCTGGCGTGGGGTGGGTGGGGTGGGAGCTGGAGAAGGAGGGGAGCTGGTCTCCACTGAGCAGGCTGATCTCCTTGCTGGGCCCCCACCCCGCTCACCCCCACCCAGTTTCTCCACAGGCCACAGTGGAGACCAGATCCTGGGGCTGGGGAGTCAGGGCTGGTAGGTGGTGGCAGATGGACGGGTGGGCGGGCCCTGGCTCCCCCACGCCCTCCCACCTCCAGCTGATAGTGGTGTGTGTGTCACTGGCTCTGCCGCAGCTCCGTCCCTCTCTCACACAAGGGGCATTAACCCAGCATCATGACATGACGAAGCAGAATCTGCCCCCACCCCGCCCTCAGCCCAGGCCCAGGCTCACACAGCACACAGCCCTAAACAGCCAGAGTCACATTGGGGTGGGGATGGCAGTGGGGCAGGGGCTCTATGGACCACTGGGTATAACAATGCTGGGCTTCTCCAAGCACCTGTCTCTCCCACCCATCCTTGGTGGCTGGGCCCACCACTGAACAGCCAGCGGCAAGAGAGGCCTCTGGGCTCCCAGCTCCTCCCCAGGTGGCAGCAGGCACCAGAGCTGGCCTGTGGAGGATTAACCCTTTCCTGGGCAGAGACAAATGGGAGGATGAGGGAACAGCCCCCCAGTATGGAGACTCCCTGAACCTCCAGGGAGCCACAGTGGGAGCCACAGCATGGGAGCCAGACAAGACCCTATGCTTGCCAGAGCAGCTTTATGGAAAGAGGACATCTTGCCTGGTGATGCCCAGGGTCCACCTTGGAAAGTACAGGGACGGGTCTTCCCATGCCTGGAAACATCACCTGCGGGCACCCCCCCGCCCATGCCCAGAGCCCATCCATGGCCCTGTGGATCCAATAGGGCTCAGAGTAGAGTCAGATACACTTGTGCCCCTCTCCACCCCCCAGCCCCACACAGAGGGAAGTGCACCCAGACAGCTGACCCCTCACCCTGACCCTGGCATTCTCTCCACCTCTACCCGCAGACTTGCCGACCTAGGCAGGCCTTGTTGTTGCCCTGGTAACTGTTGCTCCCAGCTGCTGGGTCAGCTGATTTATCAGCTGTTGTTCGGGAAATCTAGAATCTGGGGAGGGGACTCTGGGTGTCCAAATGGAAAATCACAGGGGGCAATAGAGAATGTGCCCCAGGATCTCTGTCTGAGAGTGAGAGCGAGAGCAAGAGAGAGAGAAGGGGGTGGGGGGGCATGGACAGAGAGGGAGGGAAGACCGAGAAGGATGTAACCCAGACTGGGCTCCAGGTGGCCAGCAGAAAGGAGGGAAAGCAGGTAGTTGAATGGGGGGGAGCAGTGTGGAGAGGGGGGCGTTGGGCAGAGCCCATAGTCTCCAGGCTTAGCTGCTGTGGGTGGGAGAGGCAGGGTGCAGGTTGCAGTGGAAAGGTACAGAAGGAGCTGGGGGTGGGAGAAGAAATGTCAGGCCCAGATTGACCTAACCACAGAAGAAAGGGCCAGGAGAGTGATGTGGGAGGGGTTACACGTTTGATGTGGTGGTGGTGGTGAGGGGGGAGTCTTGGAGGAGGAGCTAACTACCCCCACCCCACCCTTCTTGATGTTTTTGGATCACCAGACCTGGCCTTAGCCCAGCCTCTCTGCTTCTGGCCCTGCCACCCCACCCTGACTGCCCTCAGCTCGGTGCTGCCTGGCTCCATGCCTGCCCTGAGCCATTTCCCTCCCTCCAGCCCTCCTTGAGACCAGCTGGTTGTTTGGCTGCCCAAACCTGGTTCTTCCCCTGCTTCTCACCCTCGGCCCCCAGAGACTACCCCAGGAGACCAGGAGGTGGGGTGGAAGGCCAGCTGTGGACAGGGCTCCGGATTGAGGTGGGCAGTGAGGGACGAATGGAGAAAGGGAATATCTTCCTGATGGAAATAAGCATGAAGGATGGAGTGGGGGGGACCGAGGGGAAGGGGCCAGAGGGAGGAGGAGGGGGAAGGGAGGGTTCTTTATCGGTACCTTCAAGGACCTAGGGCACGGGGCAGGAACACAGCGGCTGCTTCTTCGGTGACATACACCTCCATCCCTGGGCGCATCTCCTCTCCGCCTCCCGTTGCCACGACAACCTGCGGCAGACCAGGCCTGGCTCAGCAGCGGCGGCGGCGGCAGGGAGGGGGAGGAGAGAAAACCATGGCTCCTTCCTACTGCCTCTGCCTCAGTGGTGGATGGTCAGGGACCAGGTTTAGCTTCCTAGTGCTGGGGCTGGGGGCTCCGGGGAGAGCTTCAGGAGCTGGAGCTGCATTGAGCCCCCACCAGGCCTCCCCTCCCCCTCTTCTTTTCCTTGGAGCTCCAGGATTGGCTGCAGGCGTAGCCTCAGGAGAACCTTAACTCAGGGCCAGACAGCAGGCTGGCTTTGGAGGGGGAGGCGGTACTGGGGCAGCTCCTCCATTCCCCAAAATCCGGGGTGGAGTTGAGAGGGGGCATTAGAGCCAGCAGGGAGAGGTGGGGAACTGGGGACAAAGTGGGCTTTCTCGGGCTGTGGGCCCAGGAGTGTGCCCCACACCTGATCTCTGCTAGCCCAGTCTAATCACCTCCTGCAGGCGCCGCCCCTCTCCCATCAGTCTGACCTAGAGGAGAGTCAAGCGGCAGCTTTCTTCCAGTCCCACAAGGCCCCATCCCCAGTGCCTCCCACGCCCAAGCCCCACACCCGATAGGAATCTCCCTCGGAAGCCTTTGGAGACACCTGGGATCCGCGGTGACTGCAGAGTTAGGGCGCCCTCTGTCGACCTGAGGAGTGGTAGCTGCCAAGGTCATTCATTGCCTCTGTGGGGGATGGCCAGCGCCCGCGCGCGGGTGTGTGTATGTGTGTTGGTGGGAGTCCAGAGACCCTTCTCTCCCATGCTATACTCCCACCTCCAGCTCCTCTCTGCCTGCTGAACTTGTCCTACAGGAGAGACAGGCTCACTCTTCAGCCCCCACCCCCCACCCCTCCTCCTTCTCTTCCTGGCCACACCTGACCTCAGAATGATCTGCTCTGCGGGCTGGCCTGCCCTCCCCGTTCAGGCTAGGGGAAGAGAGGAGTCGAATCCCATCCCAACAGGGACCGCTGCAGGGAGCCCCTCAGCTGAGGCCTGCGACCTATTTCCTTGGAGACTTCCCGGGGATGGGGGATTGGAGTAGCGTACCTTTAGGCTCAGGAGTCTCTTGAGGCCCTGTGGATGACACCTGAGTCTGAGTCAAGGGGTGGGGCCTGCTGCCCCTCTCCGGAGGGCAGGTGATCTCAGGCCTGGAGACACCTGGTTCTTGGCACCTTTCCCCAGCAAGGTCATTCATACCATGCGTCCCACTGGACTCTGGCCCTGCTGCTGCTGCCCACTCCCCTGGGACTGTGCAATAGGCCTCCCGGACCGTGTCCTTGTCTCACTTCAGTGCCCCCCGCCCTGTCCCGAGCACCAGGGTCACTCCCCCTCCGCTGTCTAAATATTAACCACTGGAGAGACCGGCCTATGGCACTTGGGCATCGAAGGAGAAAGACTGAGATTTCTCACTGGAGATTGGGCAGCCTCTTGCTCCTGACTCTGAGCGTCTCCTGGGGCCAGAGCCCCTGTACCTGCCTCAGCCACCAGAGGTGCTGCTGCCAGAAGACCACCTTGCATGCCTCCTCAGCATCCTTCCCTAGTTCCTCACTGTGGGAAGACCAAGTGCATACAGAACCCAGTCCTGTCTCACGACTGGACTCCCGAGGAGGCACAAAGTCAGTCCCCACCAGACCCCTCACCTTTGTCCCCTCAGCCCCAGCCCTTCTGTCTTCTCTCCCACTCACTTTTAAAGTCACACATTTGACAAATGTATTAAGAGTAATGGAGAGTACTTTGAAGATGGTAAGGTTATTTTGTAAAAAAATTTAAATACAGAGCTTTGAAAAAAATTCCAGTTATAGTTGGGTACCCCCTCGTATCTGGATTAACTTCGTAGGATTGCCCCTCCCGTCCCCCCATGGAGTTGTCAAAAGTCCATGGCTATTGCCCCTGATGTTTGCTGACACTAAGGATGGAGGGTGGAGGTAGTATCCTGGCTTCTCTCCCTGGCTCCAGCTGAGGGCTCGGGGTGCTGGGCCCAGGATTCCGTCCTGCCACTTCACTTGGTTTATTAACTAAATGAAAGGTTAAATGAGTTTTTACCCTGCTATTGGGATGCCGTGACTATTTCTTCAGTTGAGGTCTGACTGTCTAGCAGAACTATGGTGTGAGCATAGCATCTGCAGCTTGAGGTCAACTGTGATGAGTGCCCGAGCTATGTGACAAGTCAAGGGCAGCCTGGGCCCCGCAGGAGTGGAGACTGCCCCTCACCCCTGGGAAACTGGGCTGACTCCATGGAGCAGAGGATGGAGAAATGCTCAAAAAGGAAACCGGACTCACTGCCGTCCAGTCACTTCCGACTGACAGCAACCCTGTAGGGCAGGGCTTCTCAACCTTCCTGATGCCGAGACCCCTTCATACAGTTCCTCATGTTGTGGTGACCCCACAACAATCATAAAATTATTGTTGTTGCTACTTCATCACTGTCATTTTGCTACTGTTATGAATCGGGTGACCCCTGTGAAAGGATCATTCGACTCCCAGTGGGGTTGAGACCCACAGGTTGAGAACCACTGCTGTAGGACAAGCTAGAGCTGCTCCTGTAAGTTTCCAGGACAGTAATTCTTTACAGGAGTAGAAAGCCTCGTCTTTCTCAGGAGGTGCAGTTGGTGGTTTTGAACTCCTAACCTTGAGGTTAGTAAGCAGGGCTCCCAGACTAGGCTCCAGGAACTTCCTGAACAAAGAAGGGAGCAGTGTGCTTGTTGGGTGGCAAGGAGGGCAGTTCTGCCAGTCTTCAAAGAGCTTATGTGGGGATAGGGTTCGGAGGGGAGACTGGGTAGGACTGGACAGTCGCCTGGAAACCACACGAAGGTGTTTATCAGTGAGAGCGTGGCACGGGCAAACTGAGTGAAATGTGTAGTGCACTGGTGTCTGGGGGCCCCGGGAGGCAGGCAGAGGATTCCAAAGCTAGCTACTGCAGTGACTTAGGCTGGTCACAGAGAGGTTCTGGAGGTGGTGCCGGATTTCAGTTTGGGAGAGAAAGCAGTCACGTGCAAGGCAGTTATAGATGTTGAGATTGCTCACAGAGAGACAGCCAAGAGAACAAGGAGGGGAGGGGATGGCAGAAACCTTCAGGAGTATGCCCAAGAAGGGGGTTACACATTGAAAGGGGCCAGCAAAGAGGTGAGAGGGTGAGGAGAGAGCAGTCTCCTGCTTGCTGAGGATGGTCACAGGACTTTCAAAAAGGAGTCTTCTTAGGGGTCATGTGCTATGAGGCTGAGGGCTGGGGACTGGGGACTCTTGGTATGGTGACTGGAGGTCACTGGCCATTGGCGTTAGCGGGGCGGGCTGAATAGAGTGAGATAAGTAAAAGCCCGATTTCGTGGACTGAAGAGTGAGTGGATTTCCCCTTCTGACTTCCTGCTTCAACTCCCCTTGGGCTCCTTTGGCCTTTTGGAGGACAGGGTGGGGCAGGGAGAGATCGATAGGGAGGCTATTCTTGGCTAGAGTTCTTGGTAATCCTATCCGCACAGCACTGAGGCATGCTCCGGCCTCCTCTCTCAACATAGGAACACACTCTCTGTGGAGTCCATCTTTCCAGCAGCTTCCTGGGGGTTTCCACCCCCATCCTCACTTGCTTAAAGCCTTCTGGCACACAGGCCACTAAGGGTGCTGTCCTCGTGGGAAGAGCAGGTAATGGGGCAGTGGTGCTCTCTGAGGTACCCGGGGAAGCCTCCTCCCTTCCCCAGACCTTACACATTTATCCCCTCCCTCTACCGTTCCAGGGCTAGAGAGATCTGTTTCTTTGACGTCTTCCTTCCCACCAGGGCAGAGTGAATGAGCTCAACAGACTTCTGAGTAGGCAGAACATCCCAGACCAAGAGTTCGGGGCTTGAAAGGTATGGTGAGGAAGAGGGTACAGATGGCAGAGCCACCCCCACCCCCGCCGGCTCAGGGCTCAGGCTGGGGCGAGATGGCACAGGCCTCAGGAGCTGCCCCCCTCCCTAGCCCTTCCCCGTCCTGTCCCTCCCTGCCAGGTCTCACCTCAAAAAAAAAAACAAGAAAGGACACAGTGAGGGCTTTCTGGAGCCGGCCCCCAGGGGCTGGTCTGTGCTGGGGAGGTCAGAGGGAGAGGCAGGGAAGAAAGCAGAGCCGGACAAAGGCCCGGTCCACCTTTGAAGCTCTCTAACCCGACGGCAGAGGGAGGGGTGGGGGCGGTTGGGCGGGCGGGCAGGAGTCTAGAGTTTTAAAGAATGTCTCAAATTCCTGCGGAAGTCAGAGGGATTGTAAGAACTCCCCCTCCCCAACACACCTCCTTCCCGGCCTCCTCCATCCCAAGTCCAGTCCTGCACACCTGGGGGGCCCCCCAACCCTTTGTCCTCAAGTAATTGCTGGGTGTTGCCCCTGCTTTTAAAGTTCCATTGAACTCGCCAGTTATCAGCTGTGGCTCCAGACCACCCTCCCAATACACCCCCCAGAAAACTACCCCCAACACATCCTGCAGTCTTCAGCGGGATTAAGGCTCTTTGTGATGGGGGGAGAGGAAAAAAGCTAGGCGGTGGAAAGCAATTATGACAAGCTAGAGGGCGGGAGAGTCTGTCCTGGGGGGGCGGGGGTGGACCTCCCTTTTGGCTGCTGTCCCCACCTTCTAAATTGCCCAGGGTTGGGGGGGTGTCAGACTATTCCAGTTCTCACCTACCGAGAGGTGAGTGACCCCTCAGCCCCCTTCGACTGGAACAACTGGCCAAGCTGCTCCTCCAGCTGCCTCCTCCCTGTGCACCACCGACGCCCCCCTTCGTCTTTCAGGCCATTCGCGGAGGAAGTGGAGAGACCAATCCACGTCTTGTACTCTCTCTCCTGCTCCCCATAACCCTCGCCCAGTATTTTCTCACACAGATGAGGGAGGGAAGGGGGCAACTGAGGCTCGGGGTCCCATGGGCCCTCTCTCCTGAAGAGCACACTTGGGGGTGTGGCGGGGTCTCCCACTTCACAAGATTAAAAGTGAGTGTAGAGAAAGAAAGAGGCGGTGTACACGACCTCTGGGTTCCACTCTCGAAATGCACACCTGGGGGCTTATGGGAAAGCCCACCCAGAGCTTCTGTGGGTGGGGAGCAGGGGCCTCACCCCCCTTTTTCTTTCTGCCCCTCACCCCGGGTGACCGACTGGGCAAAGCCCAGTTCTAATTGAGATTTCCCCTCAGGTGTAGCTACCCTCTTGGCCCCAGCGAGGACCTGGGCGAACAAGAGGACGCATTCTGGCCCCCACTCCCCCTTCCGCCAGGCCCCGGCTCTCCACCCCCATCCTCCGGCCCTCCTCACCGGAAAAAAGCAATCGGGCTCCGGGGAGGCGGCTACT